CAAAGACTTGAATGAGCAATTGTCAAATAAGGAGTAAACATGGAGAAGATCAAAGACTTGAATGAGCAATTGTCAAAGAAGTTTGAAATAAATAACTTAGGTCCAACCAATAAATTTCTTGGTATGAGAATTAGCAAAGATTGGAGTACAAGTACTTTGAAGTTAACTCAGACATAATATCTGCAAAAGAATATCTCAATCACAATAAAGCATGACAAGTGTCAATATCTACAAAATAGTTGAGAAGAAAGAAATTATTAATACAGATTAAAAGTACGAGTACTCGCTTCAATGATAAACGATTTACTTGCTCTTATATTATTTCTATCAAATTATCACCTATAAAATATAAAATATTCAATTATCACTTAGCTTAATTGTGTTTTAATTTAATTATAATTTTTTTTATCACACTATTTTAATTAGAATTTCAACACTTTAAACTTCAAAATGTATTGATTGTAATAAAAATTATTATTATTTAATACATTTAAAATTAAAACCCTAACTTTTCAATGAAATATAAAAATAAACTTATACTCATCCAACCCTAAACCATAGCCACGCGAGACCTCTTCCCTCTATGAGATCCAAATTGCATGAGAGATGGCTTCGGTTTCCTCCCGCACGAACTCAACCTGTCGCCTCTATATGCAGTGTCTTCTTCTTCTCCCATCATCACCTCCTTTGCACACTACACTCGAATCAAGAGCTCGACTTCATCTCCCTCCTGTATAAGCTTACCCATCGCCTCCTCTCGACACGATGCTTCTTCCTCTCCTCTTCTTTTTCACTGGTAGGCTAGGGCATGGGCTCTCCTCTGCCGCTCCTTCCATCGCTGCTCGACTCCCAGGTAAGTCGGTCTGCGACATATATAGATGAATGCAGCTCTTCGACTTTCCGACCTCCGCTCAATTCCTCTCCCACTCTGTTCGGTTTCCCATCCTCTCAATTTCACTTATTCGTCTTCCGACAAGTTGTTTCCTCTCCTTCGATCATTTGTTTCTTCTCTCGGATAACTGAAACCGAACGTTACAGGTGTAATCTATAAATTTCTTCTCATTTCTTTATGGTGGATTTCTTGGTGTGATATTACTCCGTAGTTTTTTCCCATTCTTGAGTTATTCCACATTAAACCTAAGTGTTCTTGTGTTTTCTTACTTTGTGTGCTTTTATTTTGAGTTTTGCTTCGAATCTCACGAATTGGTGTTCCGCATTTCCACATCTTTTCCCTAACAAACACAACTTCAATGCTTTAGAGATACTCCACACCCCAACTTTGTGTGTCGACTAAAGAAGGCAATTTATGGACTAAAATAAGACCCTACTATACTATGATACTCCACCGTTTCCTCCTATCTCAGGCAGCAAGCCGCCAAGCAAATCCCTCCCTCCTACTCTATCACAAAAATTTCGATTACATCTTTTTACTAGGGTATGCAGATGAGATGTTGGTCACGGGAAACAATCCAGAAGCAACAGTTGCCTTTACTAGCAAGCTACACAACAAATTTCAAATAAAATAACTTGCGTGGTTTCTATTTTTCTGCAAATCCAATTTCATCATTTAAAATAGAGAAATCACATATGCAAACCCCACATATCCGGGATCTACTGAATCAAACTAGTTTTCAAAGTTGCAAATCAGCACATACTCCTTGTCCCTCCAAGCTCTCCATTGGCGTCTCCCTACAGCAACCACTTTCAGATCCTACACAGTACAAAAGCATCCCAGGATATCTACAGTATTTGATTGTCACACAACCTGATATATAGACTATGAAATTAACAAGGTGTGTCAAGATATGCAGGTTCCCACAATAGGTCATTTTCAGCTCATAAAAAAGATGCTAAGGCACGTCAAAGGAAACTTGACTCATGACATTCAATTCATAACAGGATCCACTACCCTACAGTCCTACTCAAGTTCATATTGGGTAGGCGATCCGGTCACTAGATGATCCACATCATGGTATTGCACATTTTTGGGTAGCAATGTAATATCATGGGCAGTCCCAAAAAAACCTACGGTGATTAGGTTTTTGTAAGAACTAAAAGAGTTTTTCATAGAATTGGATATAAATATTTTATTTCAATAACACCAAACAACACACCCCAAATACATAAAAAATAAATATTTATTTTGAGAGTTAAGCAATCTCTCCAAAACCCAAACTCATAAGACTCAAGATAACAATCTCATAGCATAACCTAATCCAACATAATAAGCCATATTTATATCCAACAATAATAACTAATAAAAGTCTAACCCTTAGGCCTCAGTCTAACATTACTCCCCTCCCAATAGAATATTTTGTTTTCAAGGGGAAAAGAAAAGGAAACTACTATTGGATCAAGTGTGTGACTCCCACTCAAACTGACATGAGTATGGCTCTTGTCGTCAATACTTAATTGGAATATGTGACGGATTGTTGACACTGTATGAGAATTATGCATAATCCATAGCATGAAGCATACGTATCTACAATGAAATCCAATAACGCTTGGACTAGTAACATTCGTTATGACCAACAACTCAAAATTCTAGATTGCCGCCTTCCCCAAATAGCGAAAACTAAGAAAGTAGATGATTTGAAAAAAAAATGATGGAAGAGGTGAGCCAAGTAAGATTGGGAATGGATAAACATTTCTCATCAATGAATAGGAGATTCATGACCTTGGAAGAAATGATGAAAAAGATCGCGGAGTTCCACATAAACTCGCAGCTGCCTACAACGGAATTCAGCAAAGGAATCAAAAGCAGACTCAACAATACATAAAAGGAATACTTGACATCCAGGCGACTGGAACAAGCATCAATAGGCTGGATAAGATAGCGGGCGATTTGGGGTAGGAGAATAGCGATTCAAAATAATTCATCCTGGAACAGGGAACCAAGATGAGTGGGAACCCAGTCAACAGTAGCATTCAATTGCATCAGTGCCTTTTGTTGCGACAGCCTTTCGTGCAGAAAACAAATCATGAGCCTATGGGGACGGGTGAATTGAGTATGGGAAGAGCCAAACTTATAGAAAGGAAATCAACATGGGTCGATAAAAGAAACCCAATTCCATCTTAATGGTTGGAATGAACTTCAGTCGAGGAAATTAAGGAGGAGACTCGCACATAAAGAAATTGAAGTTGTCGTTCTTTGAAGGAGAGGATGCCTATGGTTGATTTTATCATGGATGAAATGAATTTTGCAAGGTTAGGTCACGTCGTAGTCCCACCAGCTTCACATCTAGCTTGAATCATGGAAATTATCAGGAAACACTGTGACCCAATCTTTGCTTTCCATAATTGAATGATCTGAAACAAATTTGATAGAAACCAAATAAGAACTTCATAAAGATTAGGGCAACCAAATATTTTATTTCAATAAATCGAAACAACACACCCCTAATATATAAAAAATAGATAACAACAATTCAAGAGGTAGTCGATCTCTACGACCCTAACACCTACAATTCAACAGGAAGACAATCTCCATCAAACCCTAACTCCTAAGACTTAAGGCAACAGTCTTACAACATAACATAACCTTAAGCATAATAATCCTCATTTATACCACACAATAATAACCAATAAAAAAAAGATTGCCCTCAGCCACCAGTATATCAATCTTCAAGTAGAATACAAAGTGTTATCATTAGCGGCAACTGAAATTATTTGGCTAGTGACTTGCAACCGACTTTCACATAAACACCACAACAATACACTGTGATAATATGTTAGCTATTGCCTTAGCTAACAATCCTATCTTCTATGCTCACACCAAACATATAAAGGTGGATCACCAATTCATTTGAAATCTGATAGAAGTCAAAGTTCTAACACCCTAACACATATCTAAGTGACAACAACTAGCAGACATCTTCACAAAAGATCTACCAATCAACACATTTCTACATCTTAGAGAAAAACATACCATTCAACCGAAGGATACTAAGTTTGAGGGGCCATGACAACCTTCTCACATGACCCAATGGTCCCCTATTCTGTTTTTTTCTAAACAACAGCATAACTAAATGCCATTGCCATTACCACTTACTATGCGGGAGATCCCCTTCCTAACTAACCTCCCCTATATAACCTCATCTACTGTACACATCCCTTCAATGCAAAAAAATTGAAGTCTGTCTGTTTTTTGCAATAGTATGTTTCTAAGTTCATCAAATCAGCCTTTTCTCAAAAACAAGAACCATTTATGGTGGAGAAGATGGGGTCGTGAGCATGTATGGCACCTGTGACAATGAAGCTCCACACGAGCGTCGTTTGTCGCTAACCCATATGGAAATTCACAATAAAAATAACATAATACATAGGAAAAAATAATTATTTCAATGACTAGGCATATAGCTTGCCTAAGGTTCTGGTAAAAGAGGAAAAGAGCTTTGGGTGATTGTAGGATGCCCACAACTCCTGGCATGTTTGGTGGAAAGATGGTTGAGCCAATGGCTCCAATGCTGCTTACATTTCATGTGACACACTAATTTCTCCTAAGAAGAGGTATTTATAGTAACACATGACGCAAAAGAACCTATTAAGTCACCTAAGAAACCAAATGGCCTATAAACTCGCATGATTCACAATTATTCTTATCACAAGATGAAAATATGGGGGTAATATACCCAGTAATGTTATCAAGGAAAATAAAATTAGCAGTAGTTCTGAAAAAAAAAGCTTACACAAGGCAGTCTTGTTGTGCATCATTCAACATAAATAAATGGTATCCTATGCTTTTATGTCAAACATAAAAAAAAAAAAACATAGATTACATTACATAAAGGAAACATAAAACCAAGAGTAAGTAGTTGGGATAAGGCTAATGATAATGGTGATGATGATGATGACGCAAACACATCTAATGATGCACAGCAAGAATAAATAGAATAATACACAAAACAAGCTAGACATTAATGAAAATCAACTATAACTTAATAATACCTGTCCATGAAATGATCAAAAGCTCAGATTTGATAACTTATAGGTCCCAGAGTAAAAAAAAAAACATGGGAAGACCATAGACTTGATTGTAATTCAAAATTTTCAGTTAAAAGTGTTTCCACAACATTAGACAGATTCTGGTGGAGATAAATAAAAATAAAAATTTCAACTAATTGTTACAGCTGAATTAAAAAAAAAAAAGAGAAAAACTACCACACTTCTTCCCAGCTTCAACCATTGGCTAAGCTTCAATTTTAGATTCATCTGGTGCTATTTCCTCTTCTAGCATCTTAACAGCAGCTATAAGACTACTGGTTTCCCCTCTGAGGCACAAACCCCTCTCTTTCATCTCCTCCGAGAGTTTCTCGGCTGTACGCCAATCAATAGCCTTGAGGCAGAGAGTCCTTATCAATTTACTGTATTCATCAGCATTAGGCTGTACTCCGTGTTCCTTCATATCCTTCAAGCATTCAAGTGCTTTTTCATATTCCTCTATCCTACAATAACCTCGAATAAGTATGTGATATAATACTGGTGTCAATATTTTATGCTTCTTTTTAGCTTCACAGAAGATCTTAAAAGCCTCGTCCATTAGACCAGCCTTTGCAAAACCACTCATGATGACACTGTAAGTATATACATCAGGTCTGAGACCTCTACATTCCATAACCCTAGTCAGAGCAATTGCATCAACCACCTCCCCTTCTTTGCAAAGCCCTGTGATAACGTAGTTAAATGCTGCACTTCCAGGAGGCGGACCAGAATCAACCATTCTTAAGAGTAATGACTTCGCAGCTTCCGCATCTTTTATCCTTACCAGACTCTTCACAACTAAGGAAAAGGTCTTATTCTCATGCTTAAGTAACTCTTGTGGATAGTCCTCCAATAACTCCATTGCAATGCGAACAGATTCATCGTTTCTACATAGACCAGCGACTAAAAAACTTAAAGTATCTCGTCCAGGAAGGATGTTGTTCTCCTTAGCTAGCAGAAAAACTAAATGGGCCTCTTTTGCCTTTTTGCCCTTGCAGAAGAAGGTTATGATCTTACAAATCTTTTCAACATCAGGTAGGCTTCCGGAATTAAGCATCTTTTCACAAACAGACCAGGCTGTATCAATCATGGACTTCTTCCCAAGAGCTTCTATTGTAAAGTAAAACGTATATCCATCAGGAGCACAACCAAACTCATCAAACTTGTTGAAAACATCCAGAGCAGCTTTGGCCTTACCCAACTTCCAGAAAATAGATATTAGCTGATTAAGCATATCAGTATTTACATTCCACTCCAATTCGCCCAACTCCTTAATCAAATCCCACAACATGTAGGCTTCCATCTTGCTGATATCATCAGAGGCGCTGATCGTACTGACAAGGTAGCCTAACGCCCTCGAATATTTCGCATGTCCTTCTTTTCTGATAGCCCATCTGAAGAAAGAAACCAAATTCTCACCGGAAACGTGCGCATCCTGAAACACTCTCACCACAAACTCCTCACTCAGGCTCAGTTCTTCAAGCCTATCCAAGCTTGATCCAATATCTTGAGGTAAAGTGCTTTGGAGAATGGATAAAACGCTCTCAAGTTGATCGTTATTAATATCAGGAACCTCAGCTGGGACTTCTTCTGCGATTTCCTCTGAGTCCAGGGTAGCATCGCCACCGATGCTTTCCTCCCACAAGGTATTCAGTTCGTGTCCTTCTCCGACCTCATTCTCAAAGCCCCCCAGTACAGATGCAATTGGGGAAGCGTTTGATACCCCTAGCTCAATCGAAGAAACCCCGGCTTCTTGGGAGACAAAGTCAAAATTTTTAACAAAACCTTGGGTTCGATGAGATGCTTCGTCCTCTTCCGCCGAGCATTCATTGACGGAGGAAAAGAACTTGTTCAGGAAGGTGGGGATGAAGCGGATTGGCGATTTGGATCGCGATGGCGAAGATGAGAATATAGCTAGGGTTGGGTTTGTAGAAAAGTATGGTCGGATTGATCTGCTGAGAATGCGAGCTCGAGCTGTGGATCTCCACATCTCGGCTTTTGAAGCCAGTGGAGCTCAGAAGAGAATTGGGCGAGGGTTTTGGCCTTGCCCAGCACGCCTTCAACCAGGAGTCAAACGGCGGGTTTTGTACATTTTTTTTTTTGTTTTTTTTTTGGGTTTTTTATTTGTTTTGGAAATTTTACATACAGCGGCTGCTAAACATTGTTAATTACGCGCCACCGTTCCGAAGCAGCGAATTTATGCCCTAGGGATTCTGTTACGCGGCAACCTCCCTCTTTAGCGTCTGTTGCCGAGCACCCCATCCAGGGCTGTAAACAATTACTTCAGGGTCTGCTAGTATTCGGTTCGTTTGATACTGGCTTATATTTGAAATCGATTCGTATTCAAAATAGTTCATGAAAAGTGTGTTCGTGTTCGGCTCGAATAATATTTTTTGGCTCGAGTTTGACTCGAAATAGAAGAAATTGGAAGAGAAAGAAGAAATCCTAAACTCTTGCCTCCGAAAACAATTCTCTATTTTGAGAGGAGAAGGAGATGATTCGGAAGAGGAGAAGAGCAGTGAACATAAAAGACAAAACCTTAGCCTTTCGTGATTTTGAAGCCCTCGCGGTCAAACGCCTTTCGCGATTTTGAGAGGTAAAAGAAGAGTCGGAAGAGGAGAGGCAGCTGAACGCTTTTAACATTTTCGAACCTGAGAACATTCGAGAGTTGGGGTTTTTTAATTTTATACTTATATATTATGTTATATTAATTAATTATATAACTTATATTATATAAATATATAATATTTATAAAACTAATATTTATTAATAATTTGTTATGTATTGTAATTTATAGGATTTAATTTTTTAAAATTTGATAAATTTTTTTTATTTTAAAAATTTATTTAATTACAATTTATATTATTTAATTTTATGAATATGTATTATATGTGTATGTATATTTATTTATTTATTTCTTTTCGAGTCAATCCGAGCCGAATACGAGCGAACAAATGTTTGTTCGTGTTTGACTCATTTATATTTTGAGCTTAAAAATTTGTTCGTGTTCGGCTCGTTAAGCTTAACGAACGAGCCGAGCACGAGTTGCTCGTGATCAACGAGCCAAATTGACAGCCCTACACCCGTCCTCTTCACTTTTTTTTTTTTTTTTTTCCCGTTTTTTTTCGCGGTATCCCTTTCAAGTGATTTGTCGAGCCAACTTCCTATTCAGTGTCATTTGGGATGTTCAAGTGTGAGCTGCACTTTCTTTTGTTTTAGAGTTTAATTGGGGTAGTAGAAGCTTTTAGATGATCTGTTAATAAGCAGTTTATCCGGATAAGTTGGCTGATTTTTTGGTTTGTGCTTTTGGAAAACAGTTGATTTGCGGTTGATTCTTAATAAATGATCATTCTGCCACATTCTGCCACAGTGCAGTAAAGTTGTTTGCAACAAAACTATCATAGTTATATATTGATTACTTGAGAAACAAAAACGAGTTCAGAACAGTACAGAAAATAAGATACGTTGAATATTTAAATAGTAAATTGTATTAATATTTTTATATAAATTCAATTTAATAGAAAAATAGAACTTAAATATTTAAATAGTAAATCAAATCCTTATCTTATATCTCAATTTTGGTCTTACCCGCACATAAGCCAATCCCTGTTCACGATCGATGATGAGCTGCTTGATGCTTCTATTTAAAATATTTTCTTTTAGGACTTCTTTTCTTTTTTCAAGTGAGGATTACTATATCTGCTCACGATCGATGAAGAGCTGCTTGATGTTTCTATTTAAAATATTTTCTTTTTTTTATTTTCTTTTAGGAATTCTTTTCTTTTTTCAAGTGAAGATTATTATATTTGGATAGTCTTTAATGATTTTAAAATTTACTATCCTCTTCTTAAAGTCAAAACTCGATATATTTCTTTACTTTATAAATTAATATTAGTTTATGATTTTTCATAAATTCTCATTCCTTTCTTCTTACATGAAACTCTAAAATTCTTTGTTTGTAACAGAACTGTCTTGACAATATATTCGATACTGTAGAAGCAGAAAACTAATACAGAACAATAAAAAAAAAAGATGAAACAATCATCACGAATATCAAGATTTAAAAAAAAATAAAAAAATTATTAAAATTATAATTAAAAATATAATAATATTATTTTTAAAATTCAGATGAAAAATACAAAGTACTCATGCCAATACAGTGGTGAAGGAAAGCTTCGGTTACCTTGATCCAAAGTACTTCAGAAGGCAGCAACTTGTAGAAAAATATAATGTTTATTCACTTGGTGTGGTGGGCTTCAAGGCTTCTTGCGGACGTTCTGTGTTGAACCCTAGTCTGCCGAAAGAGCAAGTAAAGCCTCGTCGAATAGGCGCGCCATTGTTATTGTTAGAAGAAGGGCATTCTCGTCGAATAGGAGAGCCATTGCCAGAAGAAGGGCATTCTCGATCAAATCATGGATCCGTATTTGAAAGGAAAGACTGCTCCCGAATGCTTCAAGACGGTTGCGGAGATGGCAGGGAAATGCATGTCGAATAACAACATCAATCGACTGGCCATGGGGGATGTTTTGTGGAACCTCGAGTTCGCGTTGCAGATGTAGGAGAGCGCTGAGGAGAGCAATGGAGAGTTGATGAGCGGCACGATGTCAGTTGGGGAAGGAGCGCCACTGATGGTGGCGGGAAAGAAGGTTGCCAATGATCTGGGAATATATGCATCGACCATGACGGTGACGACGATGACAGAGGAGACGATCGACAGCACTCGATGGCAGAGGAGACGATCGACCATGAAAATGGCAGAGGAGACAATCGAACGCACGGGATGAGAGCCATTATAGGAATAAATTCTCTCTGAATGCGGGTCGCACAGTCGAACCCACGGCCGCGTTTAATTGAAAAGGGTGGGTGCTTATCGAAAAATGCTTGGCACGCAGTAAACAAAGGCTCCCAGTGGTGTTTTTAAAATGCCCATGCGGCAATAAGCAGCCCCAAAAACCCCCTTAAAGTTTTATTTTGATGTCCTAGAGGGTCCTAAGATATGGATTTGTTTTCTTTTAATTGGGCTGATTTTGGTAGGTTTGTCTGTTTCGGTTATTAACCTTATATGTTGTTTGGAAAGAAACATTTTTATTATGCTTGAAACTAATGATACTTTTTGCTCTTAGATTTTGTTAAGCTGTATAAAGGATTTTGATGGAGCAAGTTGTGCTCCATCAGTTTTGCTTGGCTCATTAGTTATTGCCCCTTTTGTATTTTTTTTACTGTGAAGGTGTTGTTCTTCTTTAACATTTACTTTCAATTCATCTGGATACAATCTGTATTTCTTATTGTTAAATATAGTCCACTATGCTGCCAGCATAAAAGATAATGGGACACCACCATTCAGAGTTAGATGCATATCAGTAGTTTTCAACCTTGAATGCATAGGCACAAGCCTTTTTTTTTTCAAACCCTTACCTTAGATTTCTCTTCTTTCCTTTTGGAATAGGCACAAGCTGTAAATTATCTGTTTGGTGCAAAAATCGACGAGGAAATTTGGTTTTGCCTTGGTCGTCGTTTTCCTGCTTGAACTATGACCGATCACTGGCTTTTAAAACATTTCATTTTTAAAGAAATTCTAAAATTCTGAATATAGTTCATCTCGTGGGATTGTTTGTCCATTTTGATTAGAAGATTCATAGGTGACAAGTATTTATTTCTTTATGAAGTGAATGCACATTAATCATATTGAAAAAATAAAGAACTAATTATTTTGTGATTTCTCTATTGTAGTGATTGTAGAAGTGAAAAACAAATTTCTCTTAAGATATTGTATATGAATATATTGATTATGCCTCAACAACAACTCATGATATTGTTCTTTATCATATTTACTTTCATTGTATTTCAGGAGATGAATCCAGCTCAATCTTCCACGTCGAAAGGCATTAGACGTCGTAAGGATTTTTTGTTCCTGCAACCTACAACGTGTCATATTTTCCACTTTGCAAGGTCCTAATCAGGGAAATAAATTTTAAAGCTGTCCACAAAATCAAATGGAGGATGATTGTGGCTATTTTAGATGGATAGATGAAGTAGATAATGAATTATATGATTGAGAGTATGTTGAAAGAGCATTGAACAAGGAGGTGATAAAGAGTGCGTCGAAATAGCATGATTGTGACTTGGAGTACCAGTTTAAAATATCAATTGTGTTACATTTTGTAACATTTGTTATGTTTTTATTGGTATATGTGCTCATTTAGTTTTGATGATTGTATTTTTGTATCTTAAAAGTGCATTGTTATTATTGTTGAAGCTATGGTTTCTTTAAGATGTCTAATCTTTCAGGTATGAACTTTTGTAAATCGAATTATGTTCTAATGTAATCTATAATAAGTGGTTGTTCTATGTATCTTGAAACCCGAAAACTCTTTGTAGCATTTTGAAATGATTGACAATTGAGTAATGTTGGTCTTGTCTTATTTATCTTCAAATCATATTTATGTATTTGTATAACTTTATAATCTACAATTGATATGCTGTTCCTTAGTTTGACCTGTTAAGCTACCACACCTCTCCTATTATGTAAGCTTGTATTTTGAAGGAACATTTGAAAGGTTTGGAAGTGGGATTTGATTTTTTGTGTAAGTCCACAGCTATCCCCATTCAAAAAATCAAATAAAAATTTATTCAAAGCAGCTGTAAATTCCTTAACACCCAATGAATACCTGCCATCTATCCCACCCACATAATAAATAGGAGTTAAAGAATCATAAATAAAATGAAGATGAATAAGTTTTGAGTGAGGAACATTAGAAAATTTGTTGGATCGCAAGCACAAATAAGTATAATAGAATGATTCAAAATAGTGAAGATCCATGCTTGAGTATGAATAAGGCTAAAACTTAGGCTGAACTCATATTTTAGAATCTATAAATGTTTAATATAAATCACTCATAATTGTGTGTTATAAGATAAGTATGAAATTATAGTTGTGTCATGTGTATATACATAAGAATTGCGTGTTATGTATTTAAATGCCCCCAAAACTGACAAAGAGGTTGCTACATTGCAGATAACTACTATTAACTGTTGAAATTAGAAGAAGCCACCTCTCTTGTTGACTCAATGGCTGTTAGAGATATTTATCTTGAAAAGCATAGTATGGATGCAATTATTTTTTTTTCAGGATGTTTCTTC